GGGGATTGAACTCAGGCCCTTGAGCTTGCCAGGGAAGCGCTTATTCCATTGAGCCATCTCCCTGGCCCCGATATTTATTTTATTTGGTATAGGGTCTCACTATGCAGCTCAGACTCATAGTGATCCTCCCATCTCAGCCACCTCAGCCCTGGGATTATAGGTGTGTGCCACCATGCCCAGTTTCGGTGGCTGGCATGGTGCCTGGGGTTTTGGGTGGGCTCAGCATGTGATACTGGGGATTGAACTTGGGTCCTTGCACTTGCCAGGCAGGCAGGCACTTAGACTGCCAAGCTATCTCCCCTGCTCTGAAATTTTGGCTTTTTTGCCCTAACTTTGAGTAGGTGGGAATACAATGTTTTCATATTGTTCAATCCATAATCTATAATGTTTTCATAATGTTCCAACTTTTTTTTTCTTTTTTGGGGGGAGGTATTGGGGATTGAACTCAGGATCTTGTGCTTGCCTGGTAGGTGTTTAAGCCGCTGAGCATGGTTTCATAATGTTCATAAACAAAATTATGGATTAATGTCTTTATGACTTGTCAGTGTAGTATCTACAAGATTTTTAAGGAATCATTAGAATAGTTCTAGAAAATTTATTGCTAGATAAGGCAAAAACCAGTTTTTTTGAAATACAGCCCCAAAATGAATGACTGCCAAATGAATGACTATTCTTAAAATTCTTTTTTTTTTTTTTTGGCGGAACTGGGGATTGAACTCAGGCCCTTGCGCTTGCCAGGGAAGTGCTTATTCCACTGAGCCATCTCCCCAGCCCCTCTTAAAATTCTTAAGCAGCTTACCCCTTCTCCTTTTTGAGACAGTGTCAATATGTAGTTAAGACTTGTCTTGAACTTCATATATGGTCCAGACTGGCCTTGAACTTACAGCAATCCTCCTGCCCTTGTCTCCCTAGTGCTGAGGTTACAGGTGTGTGCCTCCACACTTGGCTGAGCCCTTTTTTATTTTTTCACTTTTAAGTTTTTTATTTATTTATCCATTGGTGGCACTGGGGTTTGAATCCATGGTCTTTGCACTGTTACATCTCCAGCCTTTCTTATTTTTCATTTTGAGACAAGGTCTAGGTCATTAATTTGCTTAGGTTAACTTAGCTCAAACTTGCACAGTAGTGCTGGAATTGCATGCGCCACACTGTACTTGGCAAGCATTTTATATTTTAAGGAATCTGCATTAATTTCTATAAGAATTTAGGAGTAGTCATAGTCATTCATTTTAGCCATCTGATAATTATGTAAGAAACTTATCAATGATAAACACTGTTATTTTAAAATAAATTAGCATTTAATTATTAAATAAGTATTAGCCATTATTAACATTAATTATCAACAGTTAATGCATTATTAAACAAATTTAGTTTTTCCAAAACTGGGAGCACATTTTTATGGGTGTAAGTTGCTATAACTTTTATTAGAAAATATTGGTCAAAAAATTGATGGTGAAATCCAGTATGGTGTTGACTAAAACATTATGTAATATTTAGGCAAAAAAAAACACCCTATGTTTTAGTTTTTTTAAAAAAAATATTTTGAGACAGGATATCTCAATGTAGTCTAGGTGGGTCTTGAACTCACCATGTATCCCAGGCTGGCCTTGAACTAATCACAGTCCTGTCTCAGCCTCCTAAGTGCTGAAATTATGGGTGTGCCTCCACACCTGGTAAAGAGGCTTTAAAAAAAAAAAAAAAACCAAGATAAATATTAAAATCTGACAAAGATCAAAGGCAGACAATACAGTACAGCAAGCTCTACAAATAGATGAAAATTAAGATGCGTGGGAAAACATCTAAGTTTCTTTTTTTCTAGAAAAACACTTTTGCATGCACACAGATAATTGGGAATAAATATGTTCTAAGCCTTTTAGGTAATATTTTGTGTTTATCAATGAATGTTTGTGATAATCTTGTTAACTTGATTGATTTCCTGGAGAGGTGGTTGGATTGTGAGGGCACTAACTTCATCAAAGCATTGATCCATAGATGAGCTCATAGTTGAATGTGCTAATTTGAAGGTGGGTCTTTGTTGGGGAATGGATCTCAGGGGCCAGACCTTGGGGACTCTATCTTGTCTTTGGCCCTTCTTCTGTTGTTTTTACTCTCTGTTTCCTGGCTGCCATGAGGTGAGTAGCTTTCCTTACCCAAGGCCTTCTGTCATGTTTTTGCCGTGCCATAGCTCTAAAAGCAGTGAAACCAATCAATCATAAACTAAAGGTAACCCTTTTCTTTTATAATTTTCTTATTTTTTTGTATTTTAGGGAAGGGTCTACAGGGTGTTCAGGGTCTCTACTAGATTGGATTTATAGTGATCCGCCTGTTTACAGCCTTTTAAGAGCTGGGATTAAAGGTGCATGCCTCCACGCCCAGTCTCAATGCCCTCTCAGTGTGCCCCAGGGGTGGGACCAGCACAGCAGGCCTGGGGATTGAACCCCTCAGTCCCTGTGCTTGCTTGCAGGGGCTTTAATCAGCTGATCTATTTGGCTAGTCCCAAGCCTTTTCTTTCTTTTTTTTTTGTGGTACTGGGGATTGAACTCAGGACCTTATGCTTGCCAGGCAAGCGCTTACTCTACTGAGCTATCTCCCCAGCCCCCAAGGCTTTTCTTCTTTAAGCTGCTTATGCCAAGATATTTTGTCATAGTAATGAAAAGCTGATTAATTCAATATTTATATAACTTAAAGTATTTGCCCAAATTCGTAATTTAGTATGTTACCCAATGAAATCAGTGCTACATTTTAAGTCTATAGTGTTTTATTTTGTTGGTAGGACTGTAATTTTTATTTATATGCTAGTGCTTGTTTATAGAATGTAAATCTGAATTAAGGCATATAGGACAAGGAGAACGGAAAAAGAATATTCTGATTTCTAGAAAATTAAATCTTTCTGATATAGAAATAATTTAATAAGATGCAGTATATTCACTTTTAGTTTGTGTTGTAAATGTTTCTCAGCGTAATTGCTTCTGTTTATGATACTTTCAATTTAAAAATTTTTTTTTTTTACATTCAGTGTGTGTGTGTGTGGGTGTGTGTGGCCCACCTGGGGGCGGGGCTGGCTGGCATGTGATGCTGGGGGATTGAACCACAGTCCCTGTGCTTTGCCAAGCTTGTTCCAAGTAGCTGCTTTAGACCACTGAGCCCTCTCTCCAGCCCGATACTTTCAATTTTGAGAACAATTAAAATTTTAATGTCTCATTAAAAAAGGTTTGGGCATTATTTTGTGTTTTTAATTAATGTATTGGTATACTTGATATACATAATGACCACATTCATCATAGGAAATTTTTATATGTGCATAATATGTCCTGATTCTTCTTTTCTTCTTATTCTTTTTCCCTCCTGCTAATCCTCCTTTCAGTTTGCAAAAACTTTATTTCCGTTTTTTTCTTTGTATCTCCCTCTCCCTGTTCCCCTCTTTCACTCTCCCCTTCTTTCAGACCCTCCTCCCTTTTTGTTCTCTCCCTCCTTCCTCTTTTTCAGTTTTTGAGACAAGGTCTCACTATGTAGTTCAGGCTGGCCTTGAGCTCACTTTGTAGCCCAGGCTGGTCTCGAACTTGTAAGGGTCCTCCTGCTTCAACCTCCAAAGTGCTGGGATTCCGGGTGTGTACCACCATGCCTGGCTGAATTCATTTTTTTCTTCTTTTTTCCTTTCCTTTTCCCATCTGAACATTTTCTTGCTGCTTCCCAATATCCATCATCCATTTGGAGTGAAGCAATGTGATATTTAAACATGTATGTCTGATTTACTTCACTTAAAATTATGTTTTCAAATGTATCCATTTATCTAACAATATCTCAAGTTAATTCTTTATGGCAGTGTAGTACTCCATTGTATGTGAAAACCACATTTTCTTTAGCCATTCATCCATTAATGGGCATCTGGACTGTTTTTGTGACTTAGCTATTACAAATTGTGGTGCTATAAACATGGATGTACATATATCACTTTTTTTCTTTAAGCTCTTTTGAGAAGATATTAAGAAGGGGAATAGCTGAGTCAAATGAAACCTTTAGGGCTGGGGATGTGACTCAGTGGGAAGGTTCTTGCTGTGGCCCTCGGTTTGATCCCCAGTAACCCACCCCCCGAAAAAAGAAACCTGTAGTTTTAGTGTTTTTGTGGCTTCTCCATACTGATTTCTACAGTGATTATACTAGTTTACACTCCCACTGACAGTGGAGAAGGATTTCTTTTTCTCTACTGCTTCACCAGCATTCTTCCTGGAGTGGGATGGAACCTCAGTGTTGTTGTTTTTCTAGTTTTGCTTTCATTTGCATTTCTCAATTGATTAGTGATATTGAACCTTTTTTCATATAATTATTTGTTGTTTGTACTTCTTTAAGAAATAGTCAAGTGCACATGTTTAGATTGGGTCTTTAAATTTGGATCGGGGCCAGGGAGATGGCTCAGTGGAATAAGCACTTCCCTGGCAAGCGTGAGGGCCTAAGTTCAATCCCTGGTTCCGCAAAAAAAAAAAAAAAAAAAAAAAATCATGTTTTTTCTTAAGTTCTTTATGCTAGATATTTGTCATTTGTCAGAGGAGTAGCTGTAAATTTTTCCCCCATTTAATGGGTTAGCTCTTCATTCTGTTAGTGGTTCCTTTTGGTATACAAAAGTTTTGCATTTTAAATGAGATTTTTTTTTTTTTTTTTTTTAACCCATAGTTTGCTTGCCTTAACTGGATTTGGAGCACTCAAACTACTGGAACTCTGCCATTTTACAGTATTACAATTGGAACCAAGCAAGTTTTTAAATAATGGAAACGCCTAAGACCTCTAAAAGTGAAAATCATGAACCAAAGAATGTTATTTGTGAAGAAAACAAACCAGTTAAAGTTGTAACTAATCAAACCTTGAAAGCTAGAAATGATAAATCCATAAAAGAAATTGGGAGCAGTTCTCCAAATAGAAATAGTAATAAAAAAACCAAACAAAATGATATTTGTGTAGACAAAACAGAATTTAAATCATGGAAAGTAAATGCTGCCAGTATTCCAGGTCCTAAAGATTTGGGATTAGTTCTTCGAGATCAAAGTCATTGCAAAGCAAAAAAATTACCAAATTCACCCATGAAAGCTGAAAAGATAACTACTTCTACTTCACAGGCAAAATTAGAAAAAGTACCCAATTTACAGGCAAAAGCAGAAAAAGCACCAAAGTCACCTAATTTACTAGTGAAGGCAGAAAAAATACCCTGCTCATCTGCAGCAACAGTAGCAGTAGCAGCAGCAGCAGCAAAGGCACTTAGTTCACAGAGGAAAGGAGAAAAATCTAGTTCTCAGATGAAATCAGAAAAGGTGGCCTGTGTGAGTTCAGCAGACTCAGAAAAGGTGTCCAATTCACAGTTTAAAGAAAAGAGACAAATGGAATTACAACAAACTGGAAAAAAATTTCCAAACTCCTTTACTTCTGTGAACAAAGTGAATAATGAAACTATACAGAGAGAAAAATCTGCTCTGGAGAAATTACCACAATCTCAGAAGCAACAAACTCGAACAGATAATAATGGTGATTCTGATGATAGTGCTTCAGGAATTGAAGATGTATTGGATGATTCAAGTAAGTACAAATTAGAGTATTGTGTGCGTCACCTTTTTTGGGAGGTTTGTGTGTATGTGTGTGTGTTAATGGTTTTAAGATTGTTCTTGGTTTAGCTACTTTAATTACAAAGAAGGGCACTATTAATATGGCCCTTACAGTGAAAACAAAACAAAAATCCTTTCCATTTATTATGGTAGGTAAAAAGGCTGTATGCCTAAAAATGTAATGAAATGACTCCTTTAATTGGTTGGATATGTCCAAATACACAGTTTTCTGTTTTATTTACCTGTTTTCAGTGGCAGGGCAAGTGCTTTACTCCTAAAAGACATCCCTATCCTCATATACTCTTTAAATGATTTTAATAATATGTTGCTTATTCATTCACCAAACATGCATGTATTATGTTCCTATTACGTGCCAGTCGTGTTTATGGTGGAAAACTGAAAGCATCTTAGGCCTCATGGAAGATTCCACTGTGATGATGTACATAATCAGTGGCAAAAATTTAAAGAATTGTGAGAACACATGATACAATTATAAGATGTAGACTTTGGAAAATACATGATATAAGTGGGAAACTATGTATGAATGAAACTCAGTATTACTGACTAGAATAAAGACGGTCGCAGGGGCTTGGGGTTTGATCCCCAGGCCTGCTGTGCCAGCCCTGCTGCCGGGGCATGCTAGGACGGCAGTTGTGACTGGGCCTGGTGGTGCACACCTGTAATCCCAGCTCTTGGGAGGCTGTAAACAGGCGGATCACTATGAGTGCGATCTAGTAGTGAGACCCTGAACACCCCGTAGACTCTTCCCTAAAATACACACACACACACACACACACACACAGAATAAAGTTGGAGAGGAAGAGTGTCAAAAGATGGAACTGACAGTGCATGAGATCTTGTGAGCTGTGACAGAACTTTATCATGTTTTGAGAAGCCATTGAAGAATTTTAAGCAAGGTAGAATAGTCAGATGGTCAGATCTATCTATCTATCTTTTTTTTTTTTTTTTTTTGGTATTTGGGACAAGGTCTCACTACGCAGCTCAGATTCGTAGTGATCTTCCTGTTTCAGCCTCCCCAGCACTGGGATTACAGGTGTGCACCACCATGCTCAGATTCTGTGGCTGGTGCCAGGGTTGGGGGCAGCATGTGGTGCCAGGGTATGAACCCTGATCCCTGCGCTTGCCTAAGCAGGTGCTTAGTCCAGTGAGCTATCTTGTTGGCCCATGATCAGATTTTTCTGTTTTTAAAAATCCTGTTGGTTACAGTGTAGCCAATTCTTCGACAGGAACAAAAGTAGAAGCAGAAATTAAGACATGGTTGTAATTTACTTGCGAAGTATTTATAAAGCTTATTTTTTCCAATATCCTGACCTTAGTTTAATTGTTTAGGAATATTGTCCATCTCTTTTGAGGAATTCAGGTCTTGATTTTGTTTAAATTAATCAATTTGGGGTTACTATCACCTCTGAACGTAGGGCCCCAGAGACTTCAAAACTCCCATTATGCTCTATTTTAAAGATTCTATCACTCACTACTAGCATCACACTAGGAACCAAGCATTTACCAAATAAACCTTTAGAGATAGTAAAGTTCTAAATTGTCACCATAGGGATGCAGTGGCTGTCTCATTTATTAATGTGTTATTCCAATTAAATGCATTTTTTTGGTACTAGGAATTGAATTTAGGACTTTGTGCTTGCCAGGCAGGTGCTGTGCCACTGAACTATATCCTTGGCTCTAAACACGGTTGTTTTTTCCATTTAATTTATTTGAAATTTTTTTTTCCATTTACATGTTGAGCAATTGAAGGTAGCTTAAGGAAGCTAGTAGACCAAGAAGAGATCCTTTTGTGAAACTTGGTTAACAAATTAATAAGAATGATGTAGACTATAGTTCTTAAACCATGAATAAGCACATCTCATGCTTGAAAGGATTCTAATATGTATATTTGTCTTAAAATTATAGTGATACAATAATAGCTTAGCTCCTTTTCTCACATAAAAATTCAAATGTTTAAATTAATGATTTATTGAATTGCTTCTTGACAAAATAAATAGAATAAAATACATCTAAATCACTGTTAGACTAAGTGGGTATAGACATTTGATTAACTACAGTTTCCTGTATTAGTTCCACTTTACCTCCCATTTTAGCACTTCCAACATATTTCTATTTAATCATGTCATGTCATGCATTCATCATTCCTTTTGTGTGTATCTTCTATGTGCTAGATATTAATACAGCCTCTAGAATTACAGAAGTGAGAGAAACACATAATGCAACCTTTAAGTAGCAGCTTAGTAGGAATAGCTGGGTGTGGTGGCATGTGGCTGTAATCTTAGCACTCAGGAGGCTGAGTCAGGAGAATGGCTTCAGAGTTTAAGGCCAGCCTAAATAGTGAGTTAGAGGTCGGCCTGAACTATATGGTGAGACCCTGCTCAATCCACATCCCCCAGTCTAGTAGGAATAAGAAAATAGTAGACCCACTAAATAAGAAAAACAGAAGGTAATAAATTCTATGAGCAAAGTAAATCATGAAAAGTTGTAGGGAATGATGCTGCTATTGCTTACCAAGGCATTTCAAATTGTCACTGAGGTGACATTAGAGCAGGTAATTAACAGGTGAATGAGCTAGCAATCACTAAAATGGAGTGTCTTGGGATTTATTTGCAGAGTTTTGACTTAGATGTTTTAGGGTAGGGGCTGTGAAGCTTGATTTTTAATGGCTCCTAACTGATACTGATGGTACTAGTCAGGACTGTGCTTTTGACCACACCCTAACATATTTCCTTATTTTCACTCATGTTATCCTTCACTGTGTTTTCAACATAGCCAGAAAGATCCTATTAAAAACAACAACAACAAAAACAAGTCAGAGGGGCTGGAGAGATGGCTCAGTGGTCTAAAGCACCTACTTAGAACAAGCTTAGCAAAGCACAGGGACCGCGGTTCAATCCCCCAGCACCACATGCCAGCCAGCCCCGCCCCCTGGTGGGCTGAGCTGGCCACACACACACACACACACACACACACACACACACACAGATAAATAAATAAATATTAAAAAAAAAAGTCAGATCACGTTACTGTTACTCAGAAATTCTCAGTGTCTTTCTTTTTTTGTCTTTTCTTTTGTCATTTTGAGACAGAGTCTTGCTATGCGTTTCAGGCTGGCCTTGAAATGCCAGCTAATAATGTACTTCACTTTTCTGTCTGTTCTTGATGCTTGTTTTTTTTTGTATTTCTTCAACGTGAAGCCAAATGTCTTGTCTACTTAAGGGCATTTGCATTTTTTCTTTGAACATTCATTCCCTAGATGTCCATTTTGTTAGCTCTTAATTCTACAGCCACACTACTCTGAACATTCCTGATCTCATCTGATAAGCTCTTAACCTTTCTTGTTTCTTAATGGGGCTTTTACTTATTAGTAACCCTGCTTTGGCTCTTTTCATTTTTCTCATAGTCCTTATCACTCTGTTATTTTTAATCTTCTTTATTTTGTTTAAGTTTTGAGATACTCACTGTAAAATTCATCCTTTTAAAGTTTGCAGTTTACTTATTTTTAATATATTCATAAAGTCTTGTAGTCATTGTTATTACTGATTCCTGAATATCTTCATCACCACTTCCCCCAGTGAAACTTTGTACCCATTACTATTTACTGTTCTTTACCCTCTCCTCACTGGCAACCACTGATCTTTCTGCCTCTATTAACATTCATGTACAAGCATTTCTGTGGACAAGTTCTCAACAGTTCTTGTTTTGTGAGAGTATTAACATCTCATGGAACATCTTGTAATATTCTGTGGAACATGTTTTGGGAAATTCTGCCTGGTATTATTTTATATCATAGTTCCAGAAAATGAAATAATTTCTATTGTATCTCATTTTTAAGAAAATTCTAATTCCTTACACAGTATTGGTAGAAATGATTTTAGAGAATTTGTTGACATGGTCATGTGGAGCAAATTACATATGTAA